CTTAAGCAGATTAAATTCCTTGCCTAATCTTTTAAAACACTGGAGACGGCGTTCTAGATCATTGGTGAATGAGGCTGCCTATCATAGTTATGGGCCAATAGAAAGGTACTGATTTATGTGGTTGAATGAGGTTGCCCATCATAGTTATGGGCCAATGGAAAGGTACACATTTCTATTAATGAATGAGACTTACCATTATAGTTATGGGCCAATAGAAAAGTACTAATTTATATTGGTGAATGAGGCTTACCATTATAGTTATGGGCCAATAGGAAGGTGCACATGATTGGTGAATGAGGCTGCCCGTCATAGATATGGGCCTATAGGAAGGTGCACATGATTGGTGAATGAGGCTGCCTGTCATAATTATGGGCCAATAGGAAGGTATTGATTTCTATTGGTGAATGAGGCTGGCCATCATAGTTCTGAGCCAATAGGAAGGCACACTTTTCTATTGGTGAATGATTGCACTGCTTTTTTTCTTTCACACTCCAGCCCTGCTGTACAGAGACCAGATCACATTCACGTTCTTGCACAACTTTCATCCAAAAAAAACAGAGTTCAGCTGTAACCCATTAAACTGCTGATCTGAATTATGTATTTTTCATTAACTAAGTGGTGGGGAAAGCAATAGCAGGCCGGGTTCATTTCTTGAAATATAATTTCCAGTTTAAGGATTACGTGCTGCTGGGCTGCCTTCCTGCTGTGCATATCATATCCTTCCACAGAAGCTTGCCAAACTATTTCCTTTTTATTTGAGCTTTTAAAGGAGACCTCTCTTGAGAGAAGTAGGTGGGCTTCCATTACTGACCATCTCCTGATGCTTCGGTTTCAATGCTTTGAGTCATTGACCAAGATAGTGTAGCAGCAAGCACTACAAGAAGAATTCACCTCTTATGTATAAATCAATAATTAATGTGCTGCGCTTCAAAGAAATAATGAATAAATATAAATGTAATAAATAAATATGTAAATCAAAGAATAAATCTTAAGTGATATAACAATATGTGTTTCAAAACGACAGACAGGGCCGGACTTCCCACATGGCCAACCAAGACCCGGCCTCGGGGCAGCAGGGAGTAGAGGGGCAGCAGGGGTGTGCAATTCCTATCACCCGATGCCCAGGACATGCAGTTCCGGGGCGCCAGGCGGGTAGTTGTTTTCTACATTTAGCCCTGCTTTGGGCTAGCAGAGGTAAATGTACAGCAGGGAATCCGCCACTTGTTTTGTACAAGTGATCTTGGCGATGTCGCCAAGATCACTTGTTTGCAGCCTGCAGGTCTGCCATTCTCCAATGGGGGGGGTGGGGGGAGGGTTGGCGGGTAGGGGGGTGCATTGAGGAACCTGGCCTTGGGGCAGCAGAGAGAGTAAATCTGGCCCTGATGACAGATATAACAACCTTCAAACATGTCAATCACACCATGTTAATTCCTACTGGTGATATTATAATGCTCAACAATGTCCTTATACAGTGTCCAACAGTATGTTCCTGCGCTCCAATTAAATAAAACTGTTTGCAAATTGCAAATCTACAAGTGCTTTGAATGTCCCAAGTGCACCACACTCTTAATTAATCCGCAGTGATAGTTCTTATGATAAACAAGTGCACCACTTCCGGCTGCCACCACGCTGTTCACCCCTTTCAGTGGGCCACTCACCTTAATATCAGACCTACAAATAGGTCACAATTCGCTTAGAGGATCTCCAACTGCTCCAATCTCAAGGCAATCTTTCAACTTCAATCGTTCCCCCGGAAGTATGCATTAGCATTTCGTCACGGCCATTTTAGTAGTTACATAGTTAGTCAGGTTGAAAAAAGACCATCGAGTCCAACCTAAAGAGATACGGAGAAAAAAAAAGAGAAGAAAAGCCTAAACAGAACGCTATGCCCACAGCTACCCACTGTTGATCCAGAGGAAGGGGGGAAACAAAAAACCCTATAAAGCACGGTTCAATTTGCTCCAACAGGGGGAAAAATTCCTTCCTGATCCCATAAGGAAATCGGATATTCCCTGGATCATCAATCTCTGATGCTTAATATAGTTATAAGAACTCAATATCCAGTAATATTCTGTGCATTTAAGAATACATCTAGATGTTTTAAAAAAAAAGTTTTTTAGTAAAAAATAAAACAACCCAAAGCGAAAAACCATTTAAGTTAAAAACGTTCCTTTATTAAAATGTTACTCACACTTTAAAGTTGTCAATAGGCAACAACACTGGCAAAGAATCTGCAGGACGGCTACCTCTCCGTGTCTCCGTACCCTCTTTTGTGAGAGCGGGCAATGCTAAAGCAGTTCTGCCGACCATATAAACTCTGCTCAGCGCCTGTGAAACTCCGCACTATGCTTTACGTCATTAATGGACATCAGCTGGGGCTCAGAGTCGTAGGCGCAAGTGGGAGCACATAAAACCAACAGTCTTCATGGTGACCAAGGACGATCTTAAGGCCAAATCGCGGTTTTTATATCATCAGTAATTGGCGCGATTCTCACTGACGGTAGGAGTATGAAATGTCAACGGCAATGCTCTCCGATTTGGGCTTAAGAGAGTCCTTAGTAACCATGAAGATAGTTGGTTTTATGTGCTTCCAGCTGCGCCTGCGACTCCGAGCCGAAGTCCATTGATGACATAACGCGTAGGGGGGAGTTTCGCAGATGCTGAGTACTCTACTACTACACGGTCGAGGCAGCCATCCTGCAGGCTCTTTCCGAGTGTTGATGCCAAATTGTGACCTATTTTTAGGTGTGATATTAAGGTGAGCGGCCCATTGAAAGGGGTGAGCACTGGGGTGGCAGCCGAAAATGGTCCACACGTTTGTCATAAGAACTATCATTGCGGCTGAATTAAGAGTGTGGTGCACTTGGGACATTCAAAGCACGTGTGGATTTGCTATTTGCACACCATTTTAATTAATTGGAGCGCAGGAACATACTGTTGGACACTGTATAAGGACATTGTTGAGCATTATAATATCACCAGTAGGAATTAACATGGTGTCAATGACATATTTGAAGGTTGTTCTATCTGTCGTGTTGAAACACATATTGTTATATCACTTAAGATTTATTCTTTGATTTATCTATTTATGTTTTCAATCTATAATTATTAATTATTTCTTTGAAGCACAGCACAGTAATTATTGATTTGATTATATTGTAAAGTGCTGCGCAAACTGTTGGTACTATATAAATCCTGTATTATAATTATAATTATTATTTCCTGGTTTTGATGACACCGGTCAAAGCGCAATTTCACAAGACAGACATGAAGAAATATGGCTTTAGCTGCTTTGATTCAGCAACTTAACAAGAACTCGAGGCAGAATTGCTTCACATTTAACTAGCTCCTACTAGCTGTATATGTAATAATATATATTAATTATAATTGTCTTGTTGAAGGAAAATTTACATGACTTCTGTATATTAACATGACTTCTGTATATTATAATTAACAGGCTTGGGTAGAATATATTTAAATAAAAGTGGGGGCCATGATGATGGGTACAAATAAAAAAAAATCCTGATGTGTCATAATATCCAGTGAACACACCCAGGAAATGCACAGACCTCAGGATTTACATGACTGGGTCATCTCATCTCAGCCCGGAAAGTAGATGGTGACCCTGGATGATGCTTGAACAAAGATGGCTCAATGGTAATGGAGAGAAACACAGATGAAGGCATTATCAGTAGGAGTACTGTGATCTCTGTGAGAATAACTAAATACCTGAAAGCTTTACCCTTACTCGATACTTAGACAGCACAGTAGCTCAGTGGTTAGCACTTCTGCCTTGGGGTTCATTAGTTCTGTGGTTAGAACTTTTGCATTGGGGTTCTTGGGGTTTAAATCCCAGCCAGGACACTATCTACATGGAATGGAGTTTGCATGTTTTCCCTGTGCTTGCATGGGTTTTCTTCCAAACTCCAAAGACATGCTGATTGGTTAATTGGCTCCTGTCTAAATTTGCCCTAATATGGTTAATCATGTGAGATAGGAACCTTAGACTGTAGGCCCCTGGTCCTTTAAAGGAGAACTATGAGGTGAGTGAAAACCACTCAACCTCATAGTTCGAGCCGACGTGTGACAATGAAACTGTCACACGCCGTCTCAATAGATCGGGAAGTGAGAGAACACATACCGTCACTCGCTCACTTCTTGACCATCTCCTCCGCTGACAGTCATGGCTCCCTGCAGGGATTCCGCTGTTCCCGGCTCCGGGGGGGGGTAGGGGGTGGGTACAGCTGGCTCTGCCTCTAGATAGGGAGAGCCAACTGTCACTCACACAGATGGGTGGATCTCAACAGTAATGTCGGGATCTGTCCCGGCTGTGGCAGTCTCAGTATACCGCGAGCAGTACCTCGTGATATATTGAGCTTTGGGTCACGGGAGGACGCTAGTATATGTCCTCCTGTGACCCTTAAGCGAACTATCGGGAAAAAAACTTACCCAATAGTTCTCTTTTAAGCAGGTCATAATAGATCTATAATCTCACTCAACCTTCCTTTATAGGTACTCTACCTAAATAATAGAATCCACAGGTAGAGATAAGTCATAAACAGTTAAGTTACTTGTAAGATGTTTGCAACTCTTCTACCCCGATGTGACAGAACATTGATCATGTGGACAGGAAGGATCATGGTCAATTCAAAGCCTCTAATGGGCTAGCTCTGTCAAGTTCCTCTGGCCAATGTTCTGGCACTTTGTCAACTGACTGACAGTACCTTGGTGTCAATATCCATTCTGGAGGATACGGCGACAACAAATGCTGCCATTAAAGCAAAGCAACCACATTTTTTTGCGACTTCTTAAACAATGAGTTACTTACTGCACTTCAAAGCTGAAAACCCATTGCTTGCTTGGTGACTTTTGTTGGACACACCTTCTCCACATTAGAAAAGACAACAGTATATGTAATGGCCTAGGAGAGGTTCAGCCTTTGCTTCTCTTGTAGCTTTGCCAATGACATAAATGTCTAACCTGTGTACATTTTATTGCAGGAGCCCACATCAGCGTGGCCGGTTGTGCTTCAGAGAGCATGCAGAAGTCTGAAGGCAAAGCTGCTTTTCGAGGATCTTCCGTTACTGTCCAAAGCAGTGTCACGTCATGGAGACAAGACACATATGTGCTGGGCTGGTTGGCTGTGATAGCCAGATTGTGCCTGTGTTTCTACTGATAGCATATAGAGTGTGGGTATATTGTATCTCTGAGGTCTTCGCCAAGACTTTGCCAAAACGTGGACAACATATAATAGAAAACCCTGGGACAGGTCATTATATGAAGACTCATGGTTGCATGCAGCACTTATACTAAAGGCTGATTTTACATGACCTATACATACCGTTACAGAACTGGTATACCAAATGCACATACAATTAAAATTAATGACAATCACAAACAAATGTAAACACATTTCAAGAGCATATTAAAAAAAGGAAGCTATTATAAATAAAGGGGATATAGACAGGCAGTGGTGGACATTCACTCAGGGGCCCCTGTGCAAGACCAATTTAAGTTTTCCCATTCCAAACCTTGCCAAGTAAAATTTTCACTGTATAGTGAATGACAGCTAGATAGACAGGATCAGTGCCTAAGTCAACAGTGCAGTTAGTGCAATTTATGGCTTTCCCATTCAAAAGCTGACCAAGTGAAAAGATGTATTCACTGTGTATCCAAAGGCTTTGAAGGGTTATGGTATGAGTTTTATCTGTGCTTTGCGTTGTCTGTAAGTTTTTGGGGGGTGTCAAATGACCAAATAGTTCAGATTGCACTTCAGGCACAAGTATTGGATTAGGAGACACAGTCCACCCATACTTAGCACCCCAATTCTCAAATGTGCCAATTAGCTAACTCCTGATCAGCTCGGTCCGAATGTAAAAGGGAGCAATCACATGATGCCTGATTTGTATGCCCAGTGTGAAGGACGGAAGCCAATTATCCAATGCTTACTTTAATTTTTCATGTGTGATTCAAATGTTATTTCTGAGGATGATATTGTATATATGTATACTCCGCTCCTAGAGGACACAAACCTAACATGAATACTTTGTAGAAAATACAATTGTTTATTTGCATATTTTTTTAATCAATAAAGAACTAATCAATATTGTTGTACTTTTTTGAGGTCTCAAGCAAAGTGAACAGAAATATGTTATTGTTAACATGCTCAGACATATATTATATGTTCCAATGTTTCCAGTAGGGATGAGCCGAACACCCCCGTGTTCGGTTCGTATTCGAACGGCCAAAATGTTCGAATTCGAACTCGAACTCAGTGCAAGTGTATGGGGGTTCGACCCCCATACAGCTGCCGATACATGTAGGAAAACTGTGGCTGCAGCGGCCTGTGTCCCTTCAAATTCCCGCTGTTCTCCGCGCCTCTGTGTTGGCGGAGACAGCGGGGACACAGACCGCTGCATGCCTTCGCTGCCCTCCTTACCTCCGCTGCTGTCCCGGCCTACGGTCTCATGGTCCGTCGCCTTCGTCTAGGATCCGGTCTGGCCGCGGCTCCTCTGCCCCACCCCCCTGCCTCCTTTTCATTGCAGGCTGGGAGACATACCAAGCCTGCTATTGGATATTGTAAAATGCAATAGCCAATAGCAAGCTGGCTATTGCACCCACCCATTGCCTGCTGTCAATCAGCATGGGGTGACCTGATAGAGAACTTTCTCCTTCAGGCCCCTCCTCGGCTGAGCACTGATTAGGCAAAGCCTTGCACCAGACCACACTTTAACAAATCAGAGCTTCAGTGGGCATTTTGTATTATGGAATGTCCGCATTCGAACAAACCGCAAACATCACATAAAGTTCGGCGTTCGGCGAGCGCTCGAACACTCGGCCCATCCCTAGTTTCCAGTGAAGGGTAATGTTAATGATACAACATGCAAAGTCATTTGAGACAATTGTGTTCTTCTAACCTTGTGGTAATAGCTTGATGAAGTTAATTTTCTGTTCCACCATGACTGTGCCCTATGTACAAAGCCAGTTACATAAAGACATGGTTGATGAATTTGGTGTGAAGGAACATATATGGCCTGTACAGAGCCCTGACCTAAACCCTTGCCGCAAAGGGGAGTCCAAGTCCATATTAATACCCATGGTTTGGAATGTCTAAATGAGTTTTAAATGCCTAGCCCCTCCCTATGTTTTAATTTGACTCAAGCCCTTAACCCTCTGCCTGAGCCCTTAACACTTAACAGAACCCTTCAAGTAAGTTCTTGAACTGGACCTTTCAGCCCTTGAGCGTTAGTCAATTGGCTTTGCCTAGGCTGAGATGTCTGCTACAGTCAGGAGGAAGCATTTCCTCACCCCCAGTGATTGGACTGTACAATGCCACCTTGTAGCAAGTCACAAGGTGCTCAGACATATATTGTCACCTTGTAGCAAGTCACAAGGTGACAGGATGACTGGTCTGTGTCAGACACACAGTATGTGAACACCCGAAACTGCACAGGCAAAAGGATTTACATGACTGTGTTGTCCCTGAGCAAACATCTCAGTTCAGGAACAAGTACAGGAAGGACTATGATCTCTGTGACTCATCGGTAGCCTTACAATTTTTGCCACCTGAGCCCAGGAAGGTGGGGTATGAGCTGGGAGTACATGTTACCAGGGGGTGGGGTGTTGGTGGTGCACATAACCAGGGGAAGGAGTGCACAATAACTCTGTCTGGCATCCCGCCCAGCTCACTGATGCCACTGGTTGCCTGGAGCTGGACTGAACTTACCCCCTGCTTCAGCCTTTGGTGCCTAGGTGAGCCTGTCATCACCATCCTTCTAGAGAGATCTGGGGAATGCAGAGTAGCCCAAACCTCACGAGAAACTGCTACTACTACTGTGCTGGAGTGTGATCTCCCACTTGGCATTCCCCAGAATCTTATTACGCCTTACAGTATTGAAGGGGATAAGGTAGGTATATTAACTAACCTTTATAACCCACATTTTTTATTTATTTTAGTTCAAGGTTTAAGCATGGTGGAAGGGACCCTCCAGTGGCGTCCCTATACTTTTCACTGCCTGATGCCCCGGGGGTTGGGGTGGTGGTGGTGGTGCACATTGCAAGGGGGAATCAGTGAGCTGGCAGTGCACTCTCCCGGGGGTTGTGGGGGCGGTTGGGTGCTGGTGGTGCACGGTACCTCTAGATCTGGCTCTGTCTGATGTCCAGCTCACTGACATCACTGGTTGCCAGTAGCTGGATGGTATGCCAGCAAGAGCATCCCTCTCAGGTTGCCAGAGGGTCACAGGTTAGTAGCTCCTAGCAACCTTGATCTGGGACGCCCTGGGTGGAAAGGGGGTGGAGGGCACACCTGCCACCCCACCCCTCATGACCCAGTGAGATGCTGCCTAAGACAACTGCCCCAGGCTGCTTGATTGTAGGGACAGCCCTGGAACCCTCCATAAATTAGAAGACCTGGCTTGCAGTGTAAGGTCCCCTTTAAAGGAGAACTATGAGGTGAGTGCTTTTCACTCACCTCATAGTTCTAGCTGGCCTGTGACAATGAGACTGTCACTGGTCGGTTCAGTAGATCGGGAGGTGAGCGAACACATACCGGCGTTCACTCACCTCTCGATCCTGTCACGGCTCTCTGCCGTGACAGGGGAGGGGCTGGATTCCCCCTCCCCACTCTGATCCGCCAGCGCTGACTGGCGGAACGGACGGGGGAGGGGCGGGTACAGCTGGCTATGCCTCTAGATACGTCAGTCACGCAGCTGGGCGGATCCCGGCACAATTGTCGGGATCCGCTTCAGCTGCGGCGTCTCAGTATACCGCGAGCAGCAGCTCGCGGTATACTGCTGCGTCTCATATACTGAGCCTAGGGTGACAGGAGGGCGCTAGTTTGTGTCCTCCCATTACCCTAAGGAGAACTATGGGGAAAAGCCTTAACCCCATAGTTCTCCTTTAAGCCCTAGAACTAGCATGTTCTGTATATTCACCTCATCCTGTGCCAGGAACAGCTTTGAGGCAAAAGATAACTTTTGCCAAACTCTCGGTAACCAAAACTCCTAAAGGTAAAGTTCTCCAGGAGCCACAAAAAAAGAAACTGAACCTGCCTTTAATGTCATTACTTACATAGCCATAAGCCTTCTTTGGTACTTGTGGCTAAATCAAGATTAAAGATGTCTACTTTAGACTGAATTAGTTGGAAATACAGCTGTTATAGTAGTCTTTAATTCACCACAAAAGCGAACAGAGGGAGGACAAGATAAAAAGATTTAACAAGCACAAACACAACTTTAAACAACTATAAAGATAACTTTCCATTCACCGCGGTTAAAAGTGGATTATCAAAGCTGGATCCTTTCTCCACTTGAAAGTGCTGAGTCGCGGCCATAATAAAACAGGTTGCAGCATTTAGATCTAATCACAATCACAAAGTTCATTATAACCATTAATCTGAACCACAATGTGGCATTAAGAAAATTATGTGATTATGCTGCTTTTAAAATAAGGAGCCAGAAAGTGAATAGGAAATTGTATGGAGACGTGCAACTTAGGCAGCAGAATCAGCGGCTCACACGCGGTACCCAAATGAGGTTACTAGATAGAGCAGCACTAAGCTAAGTGCAAAGTGCAGTATTCATGGCAGCCAACCGGATTCTCCTGTGCTGGCTTGACTTTAGTAAAGTAAATTCTGATTGGTTGCTGAAGATTATTGCAGTATGAGACACGGGGATTGCACTTTTTGTTGAATAGATCTGATAGTCATGAATAGGGATGAGCAAAATTAAGGAAAATGTAATTTAACGGGAAAATCCATTTAATTTAATGGGAAGATCAATTTCCCCAAAATTTCAGAGACTATAATGAGGTTTTGGTGCAATGTTGCCATTTCAGTGAAATGCATTCAAGTTAAAAGGTGTGGATTTACTAAAGGAGTACAACATGTTCAGTTTGCAAGGGAATTTTTACTTAGCTTAGTGAATGTGGTGAAGCTCTGCTGACTTACATCATATGTGTACGTGGTTGGGTATTCTTTACCAAGTGAACTTTCTTTATATTCACTAAGCTAAGTATAAATTCCCTTTTAAAGTGGAAATTCCCTTATGGAGTTGATGTGTCTTACTGCTTTAGTAAACCAATCCCAAAGTGCAGGACAAAATGAAGGCAGGTCTGGGTGGTTTGTAAGGGTGCAATGG